GTGCGTGCATGAGGTATCTGCGTGGCGATCAGGTGGAGGCTCAGTCGTGTTTTGTCATTCTTTTTAAAGTTTTTTACGTTATAGAGTAGACGATTGCGAGCGTGGCGCCTCACTGGTGCTCCATGCGTGCAAGCATGTGTAGCGTGTGCGTGAACCCAGCTCTGACAAGCTTGCGATGGACCTTTTTCCACTAACGAGCACCGTGTGGCGGTTTGTCCGTGAACTACATAGGGTGTCTACATCTCTGTCTGTCTCAGGATGAAGACATCCATTGTTGCCCCGAATGTGCCAGCGCGTAACGCTCTAGCGCACTCGGTGCGTGAATTGGGCGGTAAAATGGCGTCTATGCATTAGCCAAAGCTACGCGCACTCGAGCTGAGTGACACCAGATTGCGCGCGCTTCAAAATGCAAAAAAAAATAAAAACAATTGCGCGGAAAATGGCTGAGATGTCACCATTCAAGCAAATGCGCGCGTGTGTATGAAGGCACTCTAGAACTACCCATGAAGGGCAGCCGGAAGGGGCTCCGCTGGACAGAGCATATGGCCATCGTAGTGTTGTATCGGTTTTCGGTGCTTTTTATGCCCCACGCTACCGAGACCTAGAAAAAGAATCGTAAAAAAAAAGATAAAATCCGCGGAAAGATGGGCTCTGACAATGTTGATCGGTCGGGATGGTGCCCCGCGAAAATAGAGACACAGCAGGAAGCAAGGCTAAGGGAGAGGTTGTGCGCATGCCCAGAAGCGTACTGGGAAAATGTCCATCGCACCTGTTCGCCCGCACGAGCACAGACACGGCGGCGACCACGCTTTCGCCTCCTCCTAGCAGCTCTCATCGCAAACACGGCCCACGAACCACGTGACCCTTATCGAGCAGTTGGAAACACTCGGCAATCTAGGCGCGCTGGAAGAGTTATTTGAGTCGTGAAAAGGAAGCCCACTTCCTGGACTCGGTCAGGAGAGGCGCCTTCTGTTTGTTCGAGGCCAGGAAGCGGTGCTCGTAAACACGCCGTGCACGTGGCCTCGCTCCACGAGCCTGCTCTCTCTTACTCTGGCACGTGTTACAAGTACCGTTTTTAACGTGTTACCGCGGTAGTGTAACGACTATTTTTTTTATATGGAGGGAGCCAGCATTAGTTTCTTCTTTTGAGGAACTATTTAATCTGAACATCGTGTGCGACACCATTCCCACGTGCACCCAAAGAGTCCATCTCATGTTCTTGCGCAAAAAGCAGAACTATACATCGGTTCACTGAAAGTCGACGCAACCGATGCTGTGATTCGAGGGCACCAATCAAGCTGCCTCGGAGCGCGTCTTTGTGGCGTTCGTCGACTTTCTTTGTACGTGTCATCATCGGCTCAGCCCAATCAAGGGCGGAAAGTGGGCCATGACCTTGAAAGCTTAGTTTTGCACGGATGTGTTTGTATACCTTCCAACCTTTGAATGTGCTCTGGTCCGATCGTGTAATGAAATATAGGCTTCGTACCGGTGTTTGAAAAGATGACTATCAGACCGTGTTTGTCGTTAAACATGCGCAGTAGGGTGAGAACACGTTTTAGAGCAAGAAATATGAAGGTGGTCGGGTCAATTCACCTCCAGGTTTACGCGCATCTGATCACTTCTGAATCAGACAGAACGTTTAATTAAATTATTACTTTTATTATGTAAGATCGATGCACTTTATTTTATCACGTTAAAATAACACACTACTATTGGGATCCACTAACATTGGGGAATGTTATCAACGTCAATGGTACGTTCAATAAAACGCAGTTGCCACCTACAGCGATTGCTTGCACACGGGCGCTTTCTTGATGATATCCATAAATGAACGCACGGCGGCATACTAGGGCACTATAACCGGCATATTTGCTAGTTTGTTAGCTCATTGAGTTTACGCCATATGGTCATAATACGAAGCATTGCTTTACTTGTGATTTCCTGGAAGCTTACCGGCGTAAAGCGCACCAATACGAGCTTGCAACAACGATGGAACTGCAATAGTAATGTCCACTTTTTTCCCACACGCGCACATTATCACGTAAGCATCTGACCACAGTCGCGGCACTCCCGTTTCTAGTTCATCTGACTGCATTCCAACAGTACGCTGCTTATGGAATAAACAACTTAGAAAACTTTGAATGAAACACAGATGGCCCTATTTTCGTGGCGTTCGTCAGTTATATTGACGGATGAATGATTGGGTATGAATGGATAAATTCACCTTTTAAATCGGACGGCGGCTTCTGCCGTGCATTTACCCAGTGGCACTCATTGAATGAAATGGCACTCTTTCATGCATGCTACTGCACGTCTCCAAAAGACGGAATTACTGGATCAATTATTTCTGAACTAGGACCAGGATAGCAGCGGCGCTCTTTGGAACGGTAGCGCTTCGATTTATTGGAGAGCAACATTGTAGGCTGAGAGAATTTCAGCTCCTGCAGACAAACGTCTCCCAACTGTGCCTAAATACAGTTTTTTTTAAGCTTAGCGGACTGGATTTAAAAATCCGTGAAAGCTACACTAATTCGGCTTGTGCAGGTGAGTCATACAACGAGGAGGATATAGTATAAGGGCTAATCGTAACGATCAGAAGGATAATTAACTACAATGTGTTAATTAACTTTTAATTATTGAAAATGAACATATTGTTCTAATTAGAAGTCTGCTGAGCGTCATTGAAAACCACTAAGTCAGTCAGTACTAGAAAGACTTGGAGCACGGGGGAAGCACGGGAGAAGCGCGGTGGAGCGCTAAAGTTACCACCCGTGCAGTAGGATCAAGGCTAACGGTCCGATAATGCTCCCGCGCGGTTTTTCCGCCTTTGATCAGCCCCAGCCTTCTGCCGGTTGTACGAGTGGTAACTTTAGCGCACTACTGCACTTTACACGCGCTCAAAGCCTTTCTAAAAGTTACTTGTTTAGTGGTTTTGAATGGCACTCGTCAAGTTTTTAATCGCAACCATGCCAATTTGCAGTAATTAAAACATTAATTGACAAACTTTAGTGAACTATTCGACTTACCGTGAGGATTTTTTCCTTGTATTATGTCCCCCTGCCACTAAAACGCACCTGCACAAACTGCATTTGTGTAGCTTTCAAGGATTTCTTTTTAAACTAATCTGATAAGCTTCGAAAGAAACATCCCGTATGTTGTTTTAAAGTAACGCGCCATGTTACCGCCGTGATGCCACCTTATTATTGTGTTGGGGTAACGCATCACTCTTGCAGTGAGAAAGTTCGTTAACATTATTGAGTGCAGTGAGGGTGTCAGGGTCATATTTTTACGAGATGGCGGGCGACTGTTAAAATAAAGTAATGCGCGACTTTGGTAGCAAGAAAATGGGTTGCCAGTAGAATGAAATCACGCGTTGCTTCAGTGAGGTATTGCGCTACCATTTTGTTAAGGTCGTCTGCTACGATTACGATCTGCATTACCATTGAAGACAAAACGGCATTGAAGGGACGAAAACGTAACGAACTAGAGAAACTTAGGTACATAAGTATAAAATGATGTTTCTTGGATTCGAATATAATTAAATTTTTCATTGCAATATGTAGCTGTTTTATTACGAGGTCGTGATTTATCATCCCAATTACCTAAGTTTTCAATGGCCTTTGTTGATTGAGCAGAATAATCCACCAGGTTAACACTGGGAGTTCCAAAACTTCGTTGGGCCACTCTGAACTCTTCTAGTGCGTGTTGTACGAGATTTAGGACACAATTTTCACTGTATCAGAACGAGGTATCGGGCCTTACCCTAGTGTTTCCACAGCGTTAAGGCAATACTTCGCCACTGGGAAAAAACGAGGCGCCAAATACTGGACCGAATGTCGCTACTGATTTGAAGCCACGGGCTCCTTCGTGTCTAAGGTTGGGTGTAAGTACGGAGCCTACAGCACGTCTTCGACTGGTGTGTTTACCGCATCCTCAAGCGTGCACTTTTGCCTGATGACGTCATAAAAGTGTCGTTTCATGCATAACGGGTGTAGACGCGACAGACGCCTATTTTGTTGTAGCTTGCTCTAAGTCATAGCCTCCTCTATCCTGACAAAGCCTGGCGGATCGCCACGAGACGCTGCCGGCGGAATGGAAGAGGCGGTGCGGCAGACAACGGATGAGAGGAGAGCCAGGTGTGTATCGGGTCCTCGCCGCTGCAAGAGCTGTGCGCTGACGTCCAGGTTCCCCGAAAAATGGCTCTTTGATGCTCTGTGCTACCAGATCCTCGCGCCCCAAATCTGCGACCGGGTACTCTATGGCTCCGTCGTCGAACTGCCAGGCTTGGTGAGAGTAGAGGAGGCTATTTCTAAGCTTAACACGAACGTTTCTGCAGCCAAGAGTTGAGACGTTGCAACGGCAGTGACACTTGCGTTCACTCGTCTCTTTTGCCTGAACGTTCACGACCAACCGTCAGGACCGCGAAATGCTACAGCATGACACGCCGGCTCCTGTGACGTCATTTGTGGCCACCTCGAGACCATTTTAGATGCGTGCGGAGTATGCGCAGCGCAAGTTCGTCTGCTTCTTGCGCAGAGGTTGCGATGATGTCAGAACACCGAACATTGGCTGATTAAAAAGAATAGTGTGTAGACCTCGAGGCATCGGGCATTGAGGTCTACCGACAATACTTGTAATCAAAGTCAATCAGAAGTCGGCGTCGTTTTGACATCACCGCAACACTTGCGCAAGAAGAAAAAGACTTGCTCTCCACATAGGACGCTAAGCACACCAGTCGAAGACGGGCTCCCGTAGAGTCGAGGTGATAGCGCAGTGTGACCGAGAGCGCCTTGGACGCAGGTGGATCCGGCGGGGCCAGCAGCAGCAGCAGTCCCGGCAGCAGCAGCAGCAGCGGGGGTCGGGGGGTGGCGCCGTCGTCGCTCTTGTCCCGCACGACGGCGGTGCTGGCGACGGGCAGCCCTAGCTCGGGCCGGCGCATGGTGCCGGCCCGGGCCGACGAGGCCCCGCAGCTGAGCGCGGCGGGGCCGGCCAGCCTGGCCATGCAGCGCGCCCGGTCCCTGTCGTCGCTGCCGCCCGAGCCTTTCATGATCATGCGCAGCAAGGCCATGAACCGGCGCGTCATCATCAACGTGGGCGGCGTGCGGCACGAGGTGCTGTGGCGGACGCTGGAGCGGCTGCCGCACACGCGACTGGGCCGACTGCGCGACTGCAACACGCACGAGGCCCTGGCCGAGCTGTGCGACGACTACTCGCTCGTGGACAACGAGTACTTCTTCGACCGGCACCCGCGCTCCTTTGGCGCCGTGCTCAACTTTTTCCGCACGGGCAAGCTGCACCTAGTCGAGGAGATGTGCGTGATGGCTTTCAGCGACGACCTGGAGTACTGGGGCATCGACGAACTGTACCTGGAATCGTGCTGCCAGCACCGCTACCACCAGCGGAAGGAGCACGTGCACGAGGAAATGCGCAAGGAGGCCGAGTCCCTGCGCCAGAGGGACGAGGAGTACTTCGGCGAGGGACGGCGCGCCCAGTTCCAGAAGTTCCTGTGGGACCTACTCGAGAAGCCCACGTCGTCGTTGGCCGCGCGGGTGAGCGTCCCTCCGTGTACGTGCCGGGCCGGACGCATGGGCGGCCCTTCGCATGCCTGCCTGCTGTGCTAACCTGTCTTTTCTCTCCCCCTTCTTTCCCGCTGAGCCGCTTGGCGCGCGCAGCCCAACGCAAGACGACCGACCATCGGGGATGGGCAGCGCGAGCGATGGGCGGTCGCAGATGCAGCGTGCGTTACCGGCGCGCGGGCGCCTCTGTCTCGGCTGCCACTATGCATACACACACTTTTCGGTGATTGGCTCGTGCTCGCTTCGTTCTTTCTTCCTTCTGCGGTGGTGACGAGCTTCCGCTTCCGAGCACCGCGGGGCCTCGCTGCACCGTGCTTGCACCGCGGAGGCGGCTGCCTGCGCTCTCTCGCCCCGCACCGGTGTTGTGCGTCGGTCGTGTTCGTTCTTCTCGGTATGTGTGTGTATGTGTGCATCGTGGCTTGTCCCCTGGGAGACAGAGACGGGGCTCGCGGTCGCTGACCTCCGGCTGCCGACGCCGACGCCCCGACCCAGGGCGCGCAGTCCGGCGGCCGCGAAGCCAGCGATCGCGCCCCGGGATCCGCGCGCGCGCGAGGAAGTGGCCCGTGGTTGAGGGCGGGCCGGGCACACCCAGGTCGTGGCCGTGCTGTCCATCCTGTTCATCATCCTGTCGACGATCGCGCTCACGCTCAACACGCTGCCCGAGCTGCAAGAGCGAGACCACAAGGGCGAGGTGGTGGACAACCCCAAGCTGGCGCTCGTGGAGGTGGTGTGCATCACTTGGTTCACGCTAGAGTATCTGCTGCGTTTCCTGTCATCGCCCAACAAGTGGAAGTTCTTCAAGGGTGTCCTAAATGTGATCGACCTGCTGGCCATCCTGCCGTACTTCATCTCGCTCTTCCTGACGGAGACGAGCACCAAGAAGCAGGACCAGTTCCAAGACGTGCGGCGTGTGGTGCAGATCTTTCGCATCATGCGCATTCTGCGCATCCTCAAGCTAGCGCGGCACTCTACAGGCCTGCAGAGTCTGGGCTTTACGCTCCGCAACAGCTACAAGGAGCTTGGCTTGCTCATGCTGTTTCTGGCCATCGGTATCATGATCTTCTCCAGCCTGGCCTACTTCGCAGAGAAAGAGGTAGCCGACACCAAGTTCACCAGCATCCCGGAGACTTTCTGGTGGGCAAGTATCACCATGACGACGGTCGGCTACGGGGATATCTGTCCGACCACGCCTCTGGGCAAGATTGTCGGTAGCGTGTGCTGCATCTGCGGTGTGCTCGTCATCGCGCTGCCCATCCCCATCATCGTCAACAACTTCGCCGAGTTCTACAAGAACCAGATGCGCCGAGAGAAGGCGCTCAAGCGCAAGGAGGCCCTGGAGCGCGCCCGCCGGGAGGGCAGCATCGTCTCCTTCCACCACGTGAACCTGAGGGACGCCTTCGCCAAGAGCATGGACCTCGTCGATGTGCTCGTGGACACGGGCCACGGCGTCGGACAGGTACCTCGCTCTGGGTGGGCCCTGCGCCCACCGCCGCAGGGCTCCGGTCGGACTGCGAGTCCTCGCGGCACTCGCGCGACCGAATAATGCCTAACAGCCTGGTTCGGTGCCGGAACGGGGTCCCTCCGGAGTGGTTGACGGGCATTCTGGACCCTTATAAATGGCTTGAGACCAGCGATTCCTCTGAATGCGCCTAGAGCTTCTAGCCACTAACCGGTGTACTAAATGTTTTTTTCTTATCCTCATGAAACGGTGTATAGAAACGATTAGTGAAGGTGCACGTGCTACTGGGGAGTCAAATTATGTCCAGTGAATAGAGTTACGACTTTCTTCGCTTTAACGCTACGGGTGTTTTTTCTTGTGTTGCCTGTTTCTATCTGTGAATCTAGAAGTGCTATGTAACGGCTAGATTAGGTATTGGCGTTTTAATGGGAATCACTGTGATACGACTTCTCACGTTCCACTGCGACGCGTTGCACGCACCTCGGTTAAAATAGCAACCATATCTTGTCGTAAGCGGTCATAAGCGGTCGTAAGGCAGTCGTTCAGATTTAAACGCAGATGTGTGAACTAGCTTTAAGGGTCAAGCGTATTGTTAACCAGTTAGCATACTTTTGGTTTTTACCTTACCAACGACAATATTTTTGTGGGGCATTTATTAAATAGCTTTTTAAAGAAGTTAGTTCATTGGACCACATACCTCAAAGGATGGGCACGGAGCAAGGACAAGGCCGACGGCCTGTTTAAATTGCGATAGTTATTATGGGAGCACTAAACCGTAAAATCATCTGCGTCCATCCATAAGCAGCTCGATAAAACACCCGTCAGGGGAAGAGGAAAGCACATGTCGCGGGGGAAGGGGCGTTGTGATGGGTCATCAACAGGTCAAGAGACCTCAACGCGAACCAGCTGCGCACATACAGTGATATGCGCAGTTCGATATGGTATGATATGATTTGTTCATATGCATAAGGTACTAAGTAAGTAATACTGGAGGCGTGTGGAAAGAGCTGTCACAAAAACAGCTCGACAAAGTCGCAGGTCCCCGCATGACATTTGTGCGGCACAATCAAAGAAACAAAATTGACACGGGGTGCAATTTCCAGCATTAAAACAACACTTCAAAATAGCATTTTTAAGAGAATAACATTAAAGTTCAGTAGGGGGAAGCGCACAGTTAGGGATTTGATCGCGAACCAGCTCCACATATACAGGGCTATGCGTAGTTCTGTATGAGCGTGCAGTGGATGACGTCAGCGGGAACCAGTTGCGCACATGTGCTGTGCACATTGCCGAAAGAGAGCGCAGTGAGTGACGTCAGCGCAAACCAGCTGCGTGCATAGCAACATCATTAGACGAACTCAGCTACGGAACTGCTCATTGACGCTGCTGCTTCCACGAGCATTACCCCACCTCTCACCCCACAGTCCGCCTCCCGTCGTTCAAGCGTGCACCACCAATTTGCGGACGGCTGCAATGTAACTACAGGGTGTTCCGTGGAATGCGTATGTTTTGAAGCGGGATGTCTAAGATGTTGTTTCACCATATTCTATGGAATGCACAGTTTTGAAACGGAACCCGAGAAGGCGCTTCAAACAACGGGAGGCGGACTGGAGGAAAAGAGGTGGTAGCCCCCTCTGCGGGAGTTCCACAGCTGAGCAAATCTAATAGCGTTAGCACATAGGGGGCAATGCGCTGTTTCGTAGGAGGAGCTTTCAGTGAGAGACGTCAGCGCCGACCACCTGCGCACAGACAGCGCTATGCGCAGGTCTGTAGAAGGTGCTTGCAGTGGGTGACGTCAGCGCAGACCAGCTGGGCGCATACAACATTTATTTTATTTTAAATAATTATTCATAGAATACGGCGGCACGAATGCGCGAGCCATAGCAGGTATGAGTTCACATATTACATACAATTTGAACAGTAGAAAAAATTGCACTGAAAAACAAATAGCGGCAGAATCAAATCCATCAACAAAACCGTCAAGTGATGGAAGGGTTACTACTTCGTTTGCTAACGAATTCTATTCTTGGATTGCCCGAGGGAAAAAGGAATACTTGAATACATCATGCTTATATCTGTATTGCATGATACCTTTTGAATGATTGAGTCTAGATGAACCCGTTGATGAAAAAGTGATATATCTCTCCCCGTCAACACTGAACAGCTTGTTAACGAGGGAGTTTGAAAAGCGAAATCTGTTTAGTCTAGCTCTGATCTCTAACGGTTGTATGCTAGTCTCTGCGAGTAAGCCTGACGCAGAAATATCATATCTAAAATTGTTAGTTATAAATCGCCAATCAAGTTTTTGGAAACATTCCAGTTCACTGAATCCCTCCGCGGTATGAGAATACCAGACTGCATTGGCATATTCCAGCATGGACGTTATGAGTGTATCGTATGCAGTTTTTGTTTTGTTTCCCTGCCAGCAAATTGTAAGCTACGTGTCAGTGTAAGAAGTTTACCCTTTGCCCTGCTAACAGCATCATATATATGCTGATTCCAGTTTAGTTTGCCTGGTATTGTTGCTCCGAGGTATTTGTACTGCTCGACATATTTGAATAATTATACATGAAAAGATTTTTTCCCAGGTTATTTTCATTTGTACTGTTTTATGTTTTAGTGAAGTTTACCTGCATTTGCCATTTATCTACCCATTGTTGAATTTTCGTCAAGGATTCATTAAGAGCCATCTGATCTTGACTTGATTTTACATCACAGTAAATAACACAATCATTGGGAAGCAACTTAACTGGTACTTTGATTTCTTTAATAATGACACTTATAAAAATTACGAACAAAAAAGGCCCAACAAGCGAGGCTTAAGGTACCCCGGACGTTACAGGCAGAAGGCCAGAAGACTCATCACAGAAATGTACTTATTGTGTTGTATTGGACAAGTGTGATGCTATCCAGTTTAATAACGGATCATTTTTGAAGACTGTAGAAAGTTTTAAAAAAAGTTTTGGGTGTGATACACGATCAAAAGCTTTCGATAGGTCAAGAATAATTATGTCTACCTGGCGCCTATTTTTAATTGTGTTCGCGAGCTCGTGTATTAATTCAGCAAGTTGGGTACTTGTTGATAATGATTTCCTAAAACCGTGGTGAGAAGGTATAATATTAGTGTGAGTTACGAGATATTGACTTATATGGGAATGTAATATATTCTCTAGAAGCTTACAACAGGTACTTGTTAAAGACACCGGTCCGTAGTCAGCGGGGTTGTTTCTGTCGCTAGACTGTGAATGGGGACAATTGTTTCAACTTTCCAATGGTGTAGTAATCCTCCGTGGTGAATAGATGTGTTAAAAAGAATGCAAATATATTGGGACATCCATTTTGCATAGTGCTTCAAAAACGCGTTATGTAAGGCGTCAGGACCAGGACACTTCTTAGGGTCTATATTATTTAACAAGTGCAAAATTCCTTGCTCTGAAATTGCTATTTCCTCAATACCAGGTGAAAGTTCGATGCCAGTATCTGGCATACATACCTTATCCGACGTAAATAGCGATTCAAAGAACTTGTTAAATTCATTCGAAGTTATACTTTTTAGTAAGGGTTTACTTTTAGTAAGCGAGACATACCTACAAAACTTCTGCGGAGCACTGAATAAAAATGAGCGCAATGTCGCGCTAAAAAAATCGTTTTTAACTCAACTACTATGTTTGTTTTTATAATTTGGTGTTCACGTGGGTTACTGTCTGGTCAGAAACACCCGCTTTGCGTTTTATTCATTCTCTTCCCTCGAGCGATTCTACGTTTCAACTGAAGTATGTCTCTATTGAACCATGGACTTCTAACATTCCTCTTTTTTTTTTTTTTTTTAAACGTCCCAAATCGCTCAACACACGTGTTCACAATGTTCAAAAAATATGACTACAATTGATTCACATCTACCCGACAATTACCAAAAAACCCTTCAATAGAAATTTCTAAATAGTCTAAGACGCCAACATCGTTTGATTTTTGTAATCTGGAACGCTAGACAGTTTTACATGGGACAAATCGCTTATCTTGAAAGGAATAATCACTCCAATCATTTTACGAGCAGAAATACCTTCATGAATGTTGCAAGTACAAGGAAGGTCACTGAGCTTATTGCTTAATATTCAAGGTCGATTAAAGATTGAGACCCACCTTGAGATCGTGTGAAACCCTCAACAACCTGGATTAAATTGCGGGAGAACGCTATGTTCAAAAGAGCTTCCCCATTCAAGCGATCCACATGGCCAAGTGATAAGTGGGAGGGGGATCGGTGGCCGAGTGGTCTAGCGCACACCAACCCGGAGCAGGTGGAACGAAAGCTCGCGCTGCAGAACCCAGGGATCCTGGGTTCGAGCCCCACCCCTGCCCGTTTCGATCTGGATGAGCATCGTACCGGCGTGCGGTCGTGTATCACTACCGCGTGATGCACGTTAAAAACCCCAGGGTAGCGGCTGTACCGCACTGGCTAAATTTCTCATCTACAGCTGGGAGACTCGTCGCCCCTGTGAGGCAGACCAAGTTCTAGGCTGTATAAACACACACACAACCCAATTTTTTTTTCTTGATAAGTGGGACCAGTTTATATTTGGTAAATTAAAGTCACCTGCTAACATGAAGTTTCCATCGTAGGTTACATAACTAGAAAGATTTTCAGCAAGATGTTTCATTACGTCTAACGGGGAGTTCGGTGGTGTATAAAATGCGCAAACAACAAACGGTACGCCATGCACTATTACTTTGCACACCAAAGACTCTGAAGTTGGCATATCGCACAATTGCCTACATATCACTTCATGACGAACAAATATCGAAGCTACACCTCCTTTAGATGGTCAATCTTTTCTTAAAACGTTATAATCAGGCAAGCATATTTCAGAATCCAGTATATTTAAATTTAACCGTGTTTCTGTAACTATCATCACATCAGGAGAATGCCCTAATAATATTTGCTCGATGTCTTAAACTTTATTCGCAACACTCTTGGCATTCATATTGATTACTTTTAGCTCACGAACACATTCACCGCGACGTCAGTTTTCCTGGCTCTCTTGCAGACAAGTAATCTTCACTCGGCACCTCCTCTTTCCATGTCCCAAGCATATATATCATTATTTACAACCAGCTTGTCGTACCGTAAAGATACGTTTTCCTCGGGTTTTCATGATTCCTTCACAGTCATCCACAATTGCTTCCTCATTGCCTGCACGTTTCTTAGAGTAATCATCCAACACCGATATGTTTGTTCCCTTAAGCTTTCTGGCGTTCTTCATAATTCATAGTTTTTAGGTGAAATCGTATAACCCCATATTGGCAGGACAAGATCTGCCGGATACTTTCCTTCCAAGTCTGTGGATGCGTTCTAAGCTTGCCGCCGTGAATCCTAATTTGTCTTCAAAAACATCTTTTGAAACAGAGTTTTTAAGAACCGCACAGTTTCCCCGTCATTTTCATAGGCGAGAGCATCTTGTGAAGATCTGAGAGGCTGCAGCCTCTCGTCGTATCCACAAGATTGTGCAGCTGCGGGGGTGTGGCGGGAGGCAAGATATGCCATGAGAGGTTAGAAGCAATGTACACACCTACACATTCATGGGAAGTCACAGAAAGCAAAGGAACGTTGCTAAGATAGTGAGAGAAAGCGAATGCGTTATTTATTTATTCATTCCCTCAGGGCCCGAAGGCATAATAAAGAGGAGTGGACGGGCACACCTAATTGCACACAAGTATAAACTTCTATTTTTTTACATTTTTCAGAGTCAGGGGTCATTTGACATTGTTTGCATCCAACAGATACCTCATTTAAATCAATTTAGAGAAACATAACTTCATACTCTTCAGTAATTTCTTCTTAAATTATGCAATCATCCCCAAATAAACTGAGGCTTCATTAAAAACGGAAATGTAAGTCGTTAAACTAAATTAGGAACAGCAAATAATCTAGGACGTAACCTTAAAGGAAACGAGACGTATCAAGACTCGCTAAAGAATTTGAATATCTCTACAAATTGAGAGCAGCTTGTTAGAAAGCACCTTGTCCAAGTTAGCATTTTAAAGTCAAGGGTGAGCTTGCTTATGGCAAAGTAGGTTGGTCGCGTCTGTCGTCTGAGCTAGATTCGATAGAGCGCTCTACACTCGCCGCCAGAGTTATTCAGAATCTTTTTTCCGCCTATCTTAGGTATTAGCCTTTATTGCGCTCTGCCATTCTCGGACCGGGAACAGAAGTTTGATCTGTCGACGTCCGTGATAGATTTGGAAAAATTTCGGCAACGTACGGATGTTGATCGAGCAGATTTTGTACCTGCAACGCGGTAAAATTATGGCTCTAAGGGTTTTTGTCGATCTGATACCGGCGTATAAAAGAATTAGCACGTGGGTAAATGCGTTTTCAGAAAGCGGAAAGATTGCCATTGTTCAAAATATTTTATAAACTTAGCGTGTTTTTGATAGTGAGCGCCATACGATAGCGGTCATGTGTACGACAGAAAGGGCAAATATCAAATTTTAATAAACCACTATCTTTTGGTAGAGTATCGTGCAAGAATTACTCACAAACAAATTGTAATTGCGTAAATCTCATTGCCGTTTGACACGAAGTAAACATTCCCTTGATTTTACAACATTCAGCTCCAAACACACTTTTACAAAAGGTCGGAATTCATGGAAACGCGCACAGTCCCGGTAAAGCAGTGTTGCTTCATTGGTTAGGCTTGACACCACCATGAGATTAAGGATCGCGTAAAGTGCGAAAAATAGAAATTCTTCTCACTCCATCTTTCCTGACAATCACAAGCGCATCAGGTCTTGTAGTGACCTTCGCACTATCAAATTCGGAAGAACTTTGTAGATCTAGATTTCATCGCCTCTCGCCGCACCCCACACAGCATTGCCACCGTTCTCGTTAATAAAACCACCTGACCATGTGACCGCACTCCGACGGCCAGATACGGAGTGCGGGAAAGTGCTATGAGAGGAAGGAGCTCCCTCGATATGAAGCAGGCGATCTCATCAGCGCACTCTTTCAACCACCGGATCTCGTGCGCTCTAGAAAAAGCGCTCGGGAGCGCGCAAAAGCATTACCCGAATTCACTTTACGTTTCAGTAGCAGAAAGTTGTGGGAAACCTCAATAACAGTTTCCTAGAAGCGTAGGCTGTTTCTTTTAGAGTATTATATGGGATCCCTACAAATATGTTTTATTACAACCCAGTGTCAAACTTTTCATTTGTAACAGATTACTTAATTCTCGTTTTCCTCATTGTTTTCTTCTGGAAAGCTAGGACATAAGCAAAACTAAATGCATTGCTTTTGTTGCAGAAAAAAAACAACAGTTTGCATGGTGACTAACACAATATATTACTTACACGCTGAACTGATTGCTCATAAGCATAAATTCAGGAACAAGAAGAAAATTACGATTATATGCTTGTTTCAAAATATGTTGCATGTCTCTAATTTACTAATCAATCGCCGCAACAAACTGCTAAACTAACTAGAAAAAAAAATTTGCATCGAAGGTCACAGCTTCTGGTTTTAGAGAGTGCCACGTCCTTATATAAGCTTTGGACTGTAGCTGTTTTTAGACGCCATTACTCACACTACTTAATTTTTTTTTTAAAAAGCAAGGCATTTATACCGAATGTGTAAAAAAGGCATCGTAAAAGTTTACATTTTAAGTAAGGTGGATTGTGTTCTTTTTCTTTTGTGGCTTTATTGTTATTTTCTGGTAGTAATTGAATCATTTTTTTCCCGGCAATTTACCAAACGTTGGGAGCAGGGACCTCGCCAAGCTGCGCTTTGCAGTTTTCTTCTGTTTCAAAACCTCTGTTGTTTACTATGGAAGTTAAATAAGTTTATGTAAATAAAAAAAAAGACTGAAATAAAAAAACACAGAAAAAACAGAAAACAACAAGAAATGCAGGCCTTTCGGGATTTGCGGTAAAGAAGTAAAAACAAATCGCGAGTGAAGGTCAGAGGTTGCGTCTGACAGGAGAGATTTTCGAAAGGGATGCTGGCAAGGTAGAAATGGGTTAGAGCCAAGAAAGTCCGCAATTCATGAAATACAAAATAGTCCCAAGAACCTTGCAGAGGCTGCTAATCAAACAAAACAAATCTACAAAGCGTCCGGCAAAAATAAAAACAAACAAACAAAAAACAGGAAAGTATTTACAGGGCTTTTGTTGCGCATTACGCAACGGACACGGGAACTGAACGCTCAGGGTCACGAGCAGGGCGCCCAGGCACCGCATTACCGAATACCATCAAACGAGCTTCCAGTCGCGCAGGTTCCGTTCCGACCTATTAAATGAACTTTCTAAAAACTGGCGAGAAGGATGGGATTTCACCGGGAAAATTAACTACGCATCATCGAAGGCTCATTCTATGCCCAAATGTAGATTTCAAAACGCTACAGAAAGTACAGCTTAAATTAAAAGCATACTTCCCATTAAAGAAACGCGGTTTTTCAATGGAATGCATACTTTTAAGGCTGTGTGGAATCAGGAAGATGTAGAGTTTGAAGCAATGCATTTTTGTGGAATGAAAGAAGTAACAAGTGAATCGACTTCATTTTGTAACAAAATCCAGTTTATCTTATGAAGAACAACGTATACAAGTTTGAAAGGGCAGTTCTCCACTCGCGCTGCGCTCTTCACTTTGTGTTAATGTAGACAGCAAGGTTGCAGTGCTGAAGTTTCGGCGTTCTCTCAAGGAGCAAAACGCAGAGCTGAGGTCGGGCACGAGTGCTGCGTTCGGCTGGGTCCTCACTGAACACGCATCGCTCGTCCCTTTGCACTGCGGTGGCCTCTTTTGGTGACGCAGGAAAGTCGGCACTAAGGACTACGTGTTGAGTTGGTCAAAATTTGCCTCTCCACTTGTGATATCCTTCCATACTCTTAAGGCTCTGCAAAACTCTGACGTTGAGCACAGGGAACGCAGCTTAGCGCACAATGCGCGCCTTTCATTGGCCGGCGAGTAGGAACTCGATATCTGCGGCCAATCGGTATCCGCGTGCTCTGCGCTACGCCGCGTTCGCTACGCTCAACTTCGAAGTAGAACGGAGCCTTTGTGCCAGGGTCCCGCTAGAGCGACAAACAGAAATAAACAACTGCGACAAGCCTCAAATCAGAGCCTTTCACGATTTGACAGGCTTTGTAGAATAAAGGAGGCTATGTTCAAATACGAGCATCGTGCGCGCGAGGGTATCTTTGCCAGGCTTGCAATAACTCGTGCTTACTTCACAAGCATCGAACAGCTAAACGCCTACCAAAGGTACCATCGCGAGCATGCTTCGTGTGTTTAAGCATAGCCTCGTTTATGCTCGCAAAGCCTGGCAGTTCGACGACGGAGCCATAGAGTGCGCGGTCGCAGATTTGGAGCGCGAGGATCTGGTAGCACAGAGTATTTCTGGGGGAACCTAAATGTCAGCGCACAGCTTTTGCAGGGGCGAGGACCCGAAACATTGTTTTCGAATCCTTTGAGAAAAAAAGCGGTAGCGCGAGGAACGCGAGGAGCACGAGCGGACATTCCATCGCTTAGGACAAGTCTGTTTCGGCGTCTCGCCGCAGCGGGGCGCCCGTCACGTGGCTCTCCTCCCGTCCGTTGTCTGCCACTCTACCTTTTCAATTTCGGTGGCCGCTTCTCTTGGCGATCTGCCAGGCTTTGTCAGTATAGAGGAGGCTATGGCTTGAGGCTCGTCGCTGTCGTTTGTTTCTGTTTGTCCCTCTAGCAGGAATCGGGGCATTGGGGGTAACGGTGCCACGCCGCGCACGCGCACCAAATCTGAGTTAGCTTCGGTGTAAGAGCGCAATCCTGCACTAACAAAGACATTGCGTGTCCTCGCCGCACATAGGGTGACGCGGCGAGTCTGGGCGAGGACTCCGGGCGGCTGAACACGGGTTGCTACCGGAACTTCGACCACGCGCTGGCCGGCGGCTGTGGCATGCGCACCCGGGGGGACTCGAACCCGGTGCTCGTGCCCCTGGCCGGACTGTCCGAAGGCCCTGCCGACGCCCCCCAACAGCAGCAGCAGCAGCACCCGCCGCCGCTCAACTCCCTCAGCGGGGTCGGCCACGCGGCATCGAGCGTCGCGGGTCCCGGATACGCATCGCCCGTGAGTGCACCCCTGGAATAAGGACTCGCTGCTTCTAGGGCTCCATTGAAGCTGATGTCAGCTGAACGCGTGACACAAAAGGGTAACGTGCAACGTCCCCGCTAAATGTAGGTGCAAAACTGAAATCGGTGTAGAATCGTAAACCAATTCAGTCACCCCGCTTCACTTGTTGGAGAAGCGAATCATACCAACTTCGTTCAAATTTGCCGTGAAAGTGTAGCACATAATTTCTCCATTAAATTTGGCGCGAATGTGTAGAACATAATTTCTCCACTACATTTGGTGTGAAAACTTTTATTGGATGTATAATTTTCATACTAAATTTAGCCTGAAACCCTGTATTAGCGTATAATTTCGCCACTCAATAGCATATTACGCACTCTGATTTATGTCCTAGAGCCACCCAAATTCACTCAGAACCACGTGGTAAGTGTGGTTGAATGAGTTCATCGAGGTATGATCTGCATCATCATCCCACGAGCTGCAGCCTGATCAACCGACGCTACAACGTGTCTCCAAACGTCTGTTGGTCGAAGAAAAAACAATCATATTTGTTGTCTATAAGCATCGCCTCGAAATTAGCGACATTTTTAAAACTTTCTTTTGAAGGCCGAGACCCGTGCTTGGGGCACGACATGCGGTTGAAGTCCAGAACTGCGCTCACCTGATACTCAATTCTTTGCGAGTCTGCTTTTAGTAGAGTCAAAGTTGACATGCGTTTGAACTTACGTAGTGTGCGCACTCTTATTATCCTAACATTTGACTTTTTGTGCAAATGTTCTTTGAATTTCATTTTCAATTTAAACGTTCTGTTTCGTGAAGACTCAGTTTAACATCGCAAAATAGGCTTCGCTCAAGTAGGGACTTGACGGTTTTCAGGAAACATTTTAAAGCACCCATGTATGCACACATAGCAGAAAATCGGTATTTATGAACGTTTAGCCTACCTAAGATTCATACATCGGTCTTTCACTTCGTACTAACTGTGTCTAAATCTCAGCTACAGTTTCCGGTACCTTATAATGGCGACAAGTAACTGTTCGTACTGGAGAAGAGGGCTCTAAATAGCGAATTCATTTCAGGACACTGTGGTTCAGATAATTTCTAACTTAAATGTCTCATCCCCAGTAAAATAAAGAGAGACCATCAGAATGCCTTTAGCATGATCTACCAGATACAACGCACCTTGTGTGATGCACCTTGGGATGACGTGACCGAATCCAACGGAGAGGCTGGGCACTGCCATCCAAAAAGCCAGTTTATAGAAAACTAACATTTAACGAATTGTATTTGGTCAGGCGCTATCTCTAGGGTTGACAAACATGGATTTTTAAATGTTTAAAACTGTGAGGTGAAGTTAAGAGTTCATTATTAAGTATGTTTGGTTTATTTTTTATTTTATTTCGTTCTATATGACATGCAAAACGCCGCTTGGCGATGGTGTTATTCTTCACTCAAATGAACTGAGGTAGGTTTCTGAGTCTCAACTGTAGCTCTTCCCATTTAAACTACCAATGTACATCAGGCACACATACTTATAAATTGTTCCTTAATTATTATTTATACAAAAAAAAAAGAAGACACATGCAAACCGAAATATTATACCTTAATGTAACTGTGACTTTATCTCTGAGAATTTTGAACTAGTACTTAGATACCCATAAGTCAGTATTAACTTTATTTGAGGAACATGTCTCAAGTAACTATTATAGTTCATCGTTTCGATGAGCTTTGCATGTCACTGGAACCAATATAAAATTTTCAACCTGAGCCTACTCGGGCTGCTCTGCTAAGCAAGCATGGCGGTTCCCATCTAGCCTCCCAGACTGGTTCCACATAGGTACGTCATGGACCCCAGTAGTATGTCCCCGTGAAACCTAGGGGCGTGTTATTGTATAAGCAGTTGTGCGTAACTATTGGAAATTACGTTCGGCCATATGGCGACTTATTAGAACGCCGTGACAGAAAAAAAAAAAATGTTGACTGCAATCACGGTTTCAAATAGCAGCATGTGACACGTAATAAATGCACTTCCTAATTGCTGAGACATGTTAGTTGCTCAAACTTCAGTAGCCTGTTGTCAACACCACTCATACTTGAGTAGCCGACTGTCGACACTTAAGAGAGAGTAGCGCCACTCATCGGTATGACAAAGATTTTCTATACTTGTTTTCTCGGATATGCATTTTTTTATATTCTAAAACCTTAAACGTATCTAGATAATAAAAGGCGTAACCTCAGATGTTCCAATTTCAATTTGTTAATTTGTGAATACATCTACCGCCTTGAAGTCAGTATTGCATGAAAAGAACATGCCAAAAGAAGCTTGTCCTGACCGAATGCAGGCAAAAACACATTTCGATCTAGCGTGCTCCATTTGGACCTTGCTCGAACAAAGAGCGATTCACACCAAGAGTCGGCAGTTACTACTTTTAATCGAAGGTCAGCTTTCTGATATATTTATTTATTTTTATTGGTACTTTTGCGGTGGGGGGTCCCTCAACAGCCTGCGGGCCTACAGTAAAATGGACATAGTTGTAACATTCTGTAGTAATACTTTCCTTTCATTAGAGAAGCAAAAAGACATTTCTCTCGGCCTTTTTCTTCGGCATGGCAGCAATTTTTATTGTATCTGTGTTTTAATTTTCGTGAAACTCGTTTTAACGTAAAATTGAGACAGTATAATGCAATAATGGTACCAGTTTACTTGTACCATTTTTAGATGTTTATTCCTGGACGTGCTGATTGAAGCAACACCCTTTCGTTTTGCTTATGATTCCAGATACTCCTTCCCAAACACTCTGAAGAGATATAATAATCTTGACCAGTACAAAAAAAAAATAAGGAAAAGGATTTGTAACCATTTCCGAGCTGCATTTTCGAACGAGTTCCACTATTGCATGTAGCCCCTCAGTTATTCGGGACCAAGTTGATGCAACGACTTTGCACACGTCCCACTTTTTCAGAAAATACTTCTGTTTTCGTGTCCCATATTATAATCAAAATTTGGAGAACTCGAGAGCTCAAAACGAGAAATTATATATAGCTGTAGACTTTTTGCGAAACCGGCAGCGCACTCAACTGCGCCGAAAGGATTGTGGGAACATCCTGTAGAGAAACGGCTGTAGCACGTGACTGAGGAAACGCAGACGAGGGGACGGAAAAAGCCGAGCGACTGCGTTACCTTCTCTCGCTCTCCTCGGTGTCACGTGGAAGACGCTGCGGCAGCAAGGAGGATTATACAGGGCTCTCCCAGAATTCCTTGCGCGCTCCGCGTGGCCTCTGGATATTTTATTAGGAGTTATAGAAATAGGGGTTTCAGCGAGCGCAAGGTGTCGGAGCGTACTTTCCACGCGGCAGTGTTCATGGAAACGGATAATCTTTCAGATCTATGCTCTCTCGCTCGGGTCTTCATTTACGCTGCTGGTTACTTGCAGTTGCAAGACTTCTAGTCTTGCACCACCTAAGTTCACGTTTCCGCTTGCGAACAGTAGACGCAAATATGTCGGCGACTCACCGGTGTGTCTGACACGTGAACAGACAGAAATATGGGCGCAGCACCCTTTCCATGGGACACTGAACTCCGAGGAAGCGTGCAATGCTTGTGACTGCGAAAAACGAGCCACTAATTCGACGCCCATGGAACGCAGTCTGCGTTGTCTGTGACCGCGAAAAACGTGCAACTAAGGAGAGGTGGCTGGTACTCGGCAGCCCCTCCCTGCCCCCTTTGGGGTCACGTGCCAGGCATGGCCGGAAGCCTGGAGAGGTGGAGGTGGGGGGGGGGGGGGGAAGTAAGGGGGGAGTTGGAAATTATCGCTCCGTCTGCTCGGCGCAACGCCGCACTTTCTGCCGGCTCTTCGGCCGCTTCTACTCCTTTCGGCGCCAGGAATGCTTTCACATTCACAACTCGTAAGAAGTGCTTAGGTGTCTTTTTTTTTCATAACTGCCTGGATCAAAAACGTACGTCACAATATGAGCTTCTGCCGGCCAAAAATGTTCACCAAAATATTTACGTCGACATACTTTGTATTAGGAGCGATTCCGAAACACACTCGTATTTTCGGGTCGACGTCTCAAAAGAGAAGCGTGTTTCTGAATCGCTCTTAGCTCAAAATGAAACTCGATGTAAATCCGCTAAGTACATTTTTGAGGAAAGCTTATTCTTGATATTATCCAGGCTCTTGAAGTTATTTTAGAGCCAGTTCAGTGTCCCATTAATAATCGTACATTTCTCTGACGCGTGGTTCAAAGGGGCGGATACCTACAACATGTCTTGACCAACTGCCCTGGCAGGATCACTCAGCTAGAATTTAGCACCAATTGTCTCGACACGCGCACTTGTGAGGCAGGTGAAAAGTGAAGACGTCTAAGGCCCAATCTGCAAGATGGTGCTTGTGAGACTGTGATACGTGTATATTTAACCGCAGCACAATTATTATCGTATTGTTCGCATGTACACAGTATTCACATGTATACATACGCTGCAAATAGTGCGGGTGCCTTGGTTCTGGTTGACTTTCAATATCTAGAGGCCTCCAGAACGAAGAACTTAGAAACAGCATGACACCCTGTGGGGTGAGCTTACAACGACAACTGACCTTTACGCTGAATGCGCCGGGATCACTTTTTGCTCCTAGGTTTCACCCGCCGGCGAGTCCTAGGCTGGTTACGTATCAGATGACCCTTATGGCTGATACATGTTCCACGGCTACATATGCTCTATTATTCCTCCTTCACGTACTTGTGCACAACCAAAATTACTTCATCGTGTGAATAACTAATTATTCGCACGATAGAGCACCCCACCAAAGATGTAAACCGAATAGAAACCTTTAGGTCACGACAGTTCTCCGAACCCAATTATAACTCCAAGGAATAAATTAAAAAAAGTACTTTATATCTCGCAACTGTTTTGACAGTATTCGCCTAATTGCTTGGCCATGTCGGTGACA